AAAAAAACTACTAAACTCATCATAATGTGACATTTTTTGGGGTCTGTACCAAAACAACAATTTTATTTTTAAATATTGAAGTTTAATGTAATTTTATACTTAAAAAGGTCAATATTTTCCACTTTTTTAGTGAGTATTAAAATGTATATTACAAGTCTCTGTTGTAATGGTTTGCTAGATCATGAGACCACGAATCTATTCTGGGAGTTCAGGAGACAAAATGTTCTGTATTGTACGTAAGCAGGCCGAGAAGATCGTTTAACATTAACACGCTGAATTTAATTAAATAATAACGTCACAGAGATTAGAGAGTCGTGTAAAGCCCAAACTGACCATTTGGTACATTTTTTATTGACTAGGTATATTAACACATTACATGCTACCAAAAAAAAAAAAATTTAACTTCAAATAATATATTTTCATAACATTTTTTAACATATTGTACAATCTCTTTAAAAAAAACCCCTACTTTTGTTTGTTCTGGTCCTCTTCAAAGTCAGGCTGACATGGCACAAAAGCAAAAATATGTGATCATCGCAAAGGAAAACAACAACAACTAAAAGAACATTATTTGGCATGAAGAGACGTGTTTGTCTTTGTGGAGCTGTAGAGGGGATAAGGTGCACATTGTTGGATCATCAGTGGTGTTTGTTTTAAAGTATTCATTGCTCTCCAACTAACTGCTGAGTTACAATAATGTCCTGACAGTGAGATGAGAGTGTTTTCTTTCTCTAAAGGCGAGTTCAGTGCAGATTAACACTCTGCATTAAAGGCGTTACAACAAACATACAGGATTAAACTTTATAAAATGAAGTGGTACCACTACAGAAAGGACTGTCCAGTCTGTGAAACCATTAAAAAAAAAGTGGAATGTGGCAACATTTTGATCCAATTAATTAAAAATATGTAAAAAATTAACATTTTACACATTTTGCATTTTCAGTTTGTAAGTTTGTCTTCACAAATTAAACAATAGATCATTTAAACGTCCTAATATGTGACATTTTGGGTTCATCTACATCTCATTTTAATTTATTTGAAAGCAAAAACACTTTTGCAGCAGCACACTTTTATAACTATTGGACTGCAACCAGCTGCCATTTAGTGTTATTGGTCGCCTACAGTATAAACACAGGCAGTAATGTAGTTAACATAATATATAACATTAACTGCCACATGAGCTTTATTCTTATATTTTTTCTGGGCTCAAATATTTCACCTTAACAAAGAAAACGTGGAATATGGGGGCTTAGAAATATTGCATGTGTTTATTAATATATATACACAGGGCTGTATATGACTCTTAATAAACATAATCACGGTAATAAAAATATGGCATTAATAAGGCATACAGAAAAAAATAATGATTTCTTTAAATTTGAGTCTCGATAAGAAAACAAATGGAGGGAAAATTTTATAATGTATAAAACACATCGTAAACTCAAGACGACATTTCAGGGTAACTGGGGTCAGATGCATAAAAACTCTGTGCAGGTTTGAGATAAATGTTGCAGAAATTTGCACCCAACACATTTATTTTGCTTAAAAGAGCAGCAGAATAGTTAAATTTCACCAAATATTAGTTGTATTTTGCACAAGGACACACAGCTGGGATCATTTAAAGCACTCAGAAGACACCAAAGGAATGATAAATGTGACTTTTTTTAAATCTATAATAGATTATTCACCTATTTCTGCTTCACAATATTACACAAACCATCCGTACGCTGTTCCCATGCATGTGTCTTTATCATAAATATTATAAACACTGTGGGAAGTGAACTATTAATGAATCGTTTATACATCTGACCCCACAAGAAGGTATTCATGTGAGTACAACAGAAACCATTTGGTTGTTCATTTTTTAAAGTATCAGAACATTTAGTGACTGATTGATCGAGGCTGAGGTAGAGAGGATGTAACTGCAGGTTCCTCCCCCCAGCGACTGACACCGACGCTGCCAGAAGCATCCAGTTGATGACGTATAAAAAGGTACAACCCCATCTTAACTAGCTACAGGAGTAATAAGACCACAGGATGGTTTTTATGTCGTAAAAAGGCCCAGCGTGTAACATTTAAACGGCCCAGAAAGCGGAAATAATATTCACAATGTTATTCATTAGTGTATAATCGTCTCAGCCACCGTTGTTGGGTTCTTAGTTCGTAACACACACACTGCTAGATGGAGAAAGACTGATAATCAGTTCTGGGAAGGTGGTGAAACAGCTGGTTTTGAGCCCTGAACTAGAACTGTAATGCATCCTGCTGTAAACATTTACCTCAATTTCTTACAGAGTTGAATTACACAAGACTTTTCTTTGTTTTTATTCCGGCTATTTGCAGCCCTGCTCTCTAAACATCGGCATATCCGTCAACCACTACTGTTAAATGCCACTAAATCCTACACACTGGACCTTTAAAATACACTGGACCTTTAAAATACACACGTTATTGTCACCGGAAACTCTCAGTCCCTGCAGGACTTTGCAGCCTAAAAATGCCTGATTTCACATCAGCTTTTCTTCGTTTTTAGGCAACAATATGTGCTAGTCGCTAGTAGTTTCCTGACACATAGCTCAACGTTACGCCGATTGGTCAGATTTGCAGGAAAAGTTAAGATGAAATTGCAAAGTCGTGCAGATTTCTGTGCAAAAACGCAACTTCCTTGAGGGACCGAACAGCGTTACATCCGTCTCATCGGCGTTTACTGCACTTTACAACCACCTGCAAGCCGCCTAATTAGTGTTTACAATGTTATAACGAGTTTAATGTTGGTGATCTGCCTGCTTCTGAGCCAAAGGTCAAAGGGTGCGTCGCCATTTAGCTCAAATTCCTACAGCAACAGACCGTTTTATGGTTTATAGTCAGTGACATAATGCTCAGTGGGCCCATGTGTGTTTATAAAAAGCTTTATGTGTAATAACAGCATGTGCATTCAACGAGGATGAGAAACAATATAAAAAACCTACAGGTAACGACCGGCACGGCATAAAGTGTCTGTTTGTACGTAAAGATGCAAATGGCATTAGTGTTTTAGGGTGGATGTTTATCCGACGAGCATCTCTCCGAATGATAGCGTCACAAAGAGCCGGCTGGAAGACAAAAATAAAATCCCTCAACCTTTCTCCTGTCATCGTCCAAACAACAGCCTCAAGGGAATCGCTCCTTCCTCCTTGAAAGGGTGATTATTTTGTTCTGTGACGTCGTCCATGTTGGCACTGAACAGTGTTTTAAAAGAGGAGCATAAAATAATAATAATAATTATAATAATAGGTGTAGTCTCTGGTAGCAAAAAGTAACTCAAATATAAAGGAAGGAAAAACATGTTTACAGTATTTTAGCATGTAAGGTGTGTATATATAGTCAATTCTATCATAATATTTTCCACTTTTAGTACAAAAAGAAAAGAGGACTTGGTTTGTAGTGAGGGATGTGATAAGTTGGTGACGTCGTCTTGGCGAAGGAGGATCGTCCTTCTCCACAAGACGCAGTCGTCGGCGCGGTGGGGGTGGGGGGGATAAAGTCTTTGCTCGTTTCACTCCGAGGTTTCACAGTCTAGCACTACAAAAACTCACTGATTCATGATTCTGTGAGAAAGTGTTTTGTCTCCTGTGTGCAATTCGATTTGTTCTCCCTGTTTCCCTTCTGCGTGTGAATGAGATGTAGTGGGTGGGGACGCACAGACAGACACCGCAGGAAGGGAAGAGTAGCTCGACTCTGCTGCGTATGTGCAGACTTCAAATACTGTGCTGGAGGTGTGTAAACTAGGGATCGACTGATATCGGTTACTGCCGCCTAACGCTGCTCGGTTCTGGATCAAAAAGTGACATTTTGCCAACAGTTTTCACTCCTTTCCCCCCGCTGACGGTCTCCCTGAAGTCGTTCAAAAGCCCTGATTGAATTATTGTAGGATTAGTAGCTTCTATTGATCACGAAACAGCTCAGACGTTTTACTGCGTAGTAGTTTGGTTCATTCGATGGCAAAGAATTAGAGGATCTTTGGGCGGTGGTTTCAAAGCTGTCCACATTAAATGCTACGGACTGACAGACGACCGGGACGGGGAACGCCAGCAGCAGACGGATAAAGGTTCAAATTCACCAGCCACTCCCCAGTAAATCATTATTTAGTGTCTGAAACCAACCAGACACTCTCTGATGCTGATTTCCCACCCTGCAGGTGACTCATTGATCGGACAGTTTAGCTGACTCACTGTCATCCTGAATCATCAGTGACTAACTGCAAGTCATGCAGCTTATGAATGGCTACAGGCATCACTTGGTCAAGACTGCAACTCAAACCACCAGAGTTATGAGAGATAATGCCTAATATGTAGAAACCGGATGATAAGAGAGGCGTGTTGTATCGTTAGAGGAGGATATATTTACCGTTTCCACTCCTCTTTTTAATGAAGAACTGCTTAAAATACAGAGTGAGACACAAGCACGACAGCTCTGACTGAACCCCGTTTGAGGAAGATCCCCAAACACACTTGCTGACGTGCGCGCGTTACCATGGTTACCAGATTATCTTGCCTAATTAGTGTGTAAATCACTTAGGAGATTTTATTCATCCCATCGGTTCCCGGTCAGCGGATGGATTTAAGTTTATATTTTGATTTCATTAAAAACAAATCACATCAACTGTCACAAAAATCCTTCTGAGTTGGTTTGGAAACTGAAATCCCACTTTTCAATCGATCACTTAATCAATTAGCTTCCACATCGGCCAAAATGAACCGAACTAAAACGAGTAAACGCGCCAGAGTTTGTTTGAACCAAACATGTTGTGAACGCACCCTTAAATAGTGTCTCATTTCCACACCCGTTCTCTGTACTGGATGCACAGCGATGAAACAAACCTTCCTATGTGATGGCGGATAAGACGACACACAAGACTGTTCCTTTTGAGTGTAACATTAATAAATATTAAACGCTGCTATCTATCTGAATACAAGAAATATTTAATGCTGAATTTTTTTTTTTTAAATGAGGCTGTAGGCGAGGAGCAACAGCAGCAGTGTGTAATCCTTTTAAAAAATAAGCTATTATAGGCAAACCGATATCAGTCTGACCTTAGTGTAAACTCTTCAAAATGACATTAGGTAAGGTCACCCGACACGTCTTGCATTGGCGTAGCTCGTAGGTTCATATACTGTGTGCTTGTAGAAATCGTTTTCTTTTCCGAGCGTGACGAAGGAGGAGAAGGGTTTGTGCCGGACGCCGTCGAAAAGGCGGCGGGAAGGGGGGAGAGCGTGCGTTCCTCAGCTCTCGTCGTCGGGATTGTGCTGTTCCAACAGTCGGACGTGGGTGAAGGGAAAGTGGCCTCGTTTGCCTTTGCACTCGCCCTCCCACTGGCCGTTCACGTTGATCTTGGTCACTTTTACCATGTCTCCCACCTGTCGAATGACAAAAAAAAGGTAAATACAAACAAAAACACTTTCTATTGCCAGTCCGTATTAAAGCTGCAGTAGGTAACTTGTATGAAAATAACTTTTTGTCACATTTGCTGAAACTCAGAAGAACATGAGACAGATAATGTGTGAAAAAATCTGGTTAATCCGGCTCGTCCTAGTGCCCAGAATGGCATTCACAAGAATCCACCAGGGCCCGAATGAAAACAACCAATCAGGGCAGAGAAAAGACTTGAATATATGTTATATATGTTGAGTTTCATTTCCAGCATTTGACACATTGGGAACGAGACTTAACACTCAACTATCTTTCTCGGCTCTGATTGTTTTTTTGTTTTTTTCCATTTGGGGCCGGTGGATTCTTTCAAATGCCATTCGGGGAACTAGGACGAGTCAGAGGGACCTGATTTTTCCACACATTATCTGTTTTATGTTTTACTGTCAGGATATAGTGAAAGTTTCAGCAAATGTGACAAAAAGTTATTTTCATAAAAGTTACCTACTGCAGCTTTAAATCAGCAGAATCAGTTCATAGTCGAAACCTATCAATACTCAGCTCAATGTCTGATTCAACTTAGATAAAGCACACAGGAAGAAAAAAAAAAAAACTGTACTGACCTAAAATTGACTGACCCATCTTTAGTTTTACAAATGCAGAACAACAAACCCACAAATAGAAACCACAGTTTGACTGATATACAGGAATATATTCAATCAATACAGACGTTGTGGTAGGGATAGAGTACTTCCACGTTTTGTTCAGCAAGATAATCGTCGCAAAATGAACACCAGAAGTAAAACGTTAGGCTATAAACAGGGTTCGCGATGTTTTTAAGAAATCACTTTCCAGGACATTTTCACAAACTGTTATATAAATTTACCCGAAGGTCGAGTATCAACTAGTTTAACTCCAGTTTTCACGCAGCTTACGCTACCAACAGTCGAGTTTCAAACAAAAGGCAGACCCAGGTTTATGTAGGTGAGTGAGAGGGGGTAAAAACACAATTAAAGTTTCCCAGGAAACATAAAATATTTCCAGGATTTTTGATAATTTTAATCAATTTCCAGGTGTTTCTATGACTGGAAAACTAGTCTCTAATCTTTCCAGATTTTCCAGGACGTGTAGGAACTCTGTATAAACGAAGATCACAGTGAATTACTTCACTTCTTATAATTAAAAACTACAAGTTAAGTTAGTTAACCTGCAGTTCTTCTGTGTCCAGCTTACTGATATTTAACGCCCCCGACAGTCGTCTCATTTAGCCACTTGTTAACAACCGTCTGTACTGTATTTTATGTCGTAGATCAAAACGTGTCAATTTCTTAAGCTTGTGTTAACAACAGACCTTATTTCAGACATTTAATAAAAAAAAAACAACTAACTATGAGGTTGGTTCAGGTTTGAGGACTCACTGCTGCTCTCTAAGGTCATTTTTCATTACAAATCAAAGAAACGCAAAGATTTAGGAGCCGTACAACAATCTGAACCACGGCGTCGCCACATTGAGCAGCCCAGATGTTTGGAGAAGCCTACAGTATTTTATTCGCCTTAAGAATCCTCATTATTAGCCTATTTTACATGTATTGGTGGTTTCTTTAGCTGGAAACTAAAAACACGCGAGGTAGATGCGCAGAAGCTCGCGGGACGTTGTAATTCCGGGTTATAAACTGCAGACAATGCACTTTAAATAGGATTTAATTTCAAAATAACACTGCCAGCTGAAAATTGCAGAATAATTGCCAGTCCTTATCTACAGTGGGAGTATTGTGTGCTGTGAATCCAGTGTTTCCTACAGACGGCCTATACTTTTGGCAGGCTGCACAAATATACTGTGACCTATTTTAAACTCCGGCGGAGGTTCGTAAACACTTTTAAAGTCATCTAGTCTGTTTTATCTCACACAGAAACACACACACACACCAACAACACACACGCCGCCTTCCACTTGTGTTATTTCAAACAAAATGGTGGCGTCTGTGTTTCTTGAGAAGACTCAAATAAACGGAGCTGCACAGAGAGAACGCCGGGAGCCCCAACAACTGACAGCTGAGGCATTTTAAGAGCTGGCTGTGTTGTAAAGTTTGAAACTCAAGCACAAGGACGACGAATGATTACATTTATTCTACTAGTAAAATGGTTTTATTGAAGCTTCTGAATCGACTGTGCCGCGTCACTGATGGAAACTCGTTTGGAGACGAGGCGTTGAGAGAAAGTATTGTCTTGGTGTCTTGTATCGGTGTGCTGAAATTACTTGATTAACACAACAGCTAATGAGCAGCTGCCTTTGGCCGCACAGGCAGGGTTCGTCCTGCAAAACCTGCCATGGAAATGAAAATAAAATACATTAAAACGGACGAATATCCTGTAAATAATCGGTATTGTCCTGGAGAAATGTAATATTGGTATTTCAGCCGCTCGCTCGGGTCGCCTTTGTAAACCTGGGTGCGTTTGAAACTCAGATGTTTGTAGGGCGAGTTGTGCGGTACGACTCTACAAAGCACGTTTATCAGACGACCTTCATCTGCATCATCTGTTTTTCCCAGTCCCACTGCAATTTTTGGGATAAAAAGTAAACTGTGACAGAATAATGAAACAGAGCTGCAGAGATTCATTACTAGTCTTTTTCTCCAGCTGTAAGAAAACATGTTTGTTTGCTACAGAGCCTTTAAAAAACACAACATTTAAGTGTTTTTTTTGGGTGAAAACTCAATTTGTGACGCAAAAATTATAATCGTGAATCATATCGCAATCACAACATCTGTTAAAATAACAACAACATGATGTTTTTACCGTATCGTGCAGCCCTGCTTTCTCCATCCTCTTTTAGTAGGCCAATAGGTCAGAAGTTGAATTAATTAAAGTTAAATAATTTGTTTTATTTATGGCCTTGGGTCAAATTAATGCAATTAAAAAAAAAGAGGACTTAAACTGGGGTTAAATACTGTCAATACAGGCAAACTCTTGTCCTTTATCCAAGAAAATGAACCCTGACAACACAACGAGAGGCTCATTAAGCATCCAGCACCGTCTGACAGCGAGCTCTCCGCAGTGAACAACGTGGCCGTTAAACTGCCCTCCAACATCATCTGCATTATATTTACCAACCCGTACGCTTGTTTATTTATCTGCTCCGAGTAAACAAATAAAAACAATGCGCCTTGTTTCTCTGGGCTGCGGCGCTAATGAATGTACAATGTAAGCCTCACATTAATCCGATGGGCCGCAGCGTGTACATAAAGAGAGGCCACAGTGAAGGATCTGTGCGCGTCCCGTCTCCGCC